GGAAATAAACCTTCACTAAGAGATTTATTGAAAATGAGAAGTAGCGGGTAACATAAGACCGACCTTATGTGATACAAAAAAAATCCTGGCAAACCGTCTGGACCAATTGACTTCACCGAGCGTAGCTTAGACAAACCAGATTCAACATCATCAATATCAACATAGCAACAAGAAGGTAGGTCATAGGGTAGACCATTAGGTAAAGCGTTTACAGTACATATTTTGGTTGACGAAAAAACAGAACTAAAATGCTTAGAAAAGAGCTCAGATGCATCTACATTGTTGGTACTAGAGACACCGTTAAGGTTTACTGTAGATGGAAGATTATTTCCATTTTTGTTTTTGCGTACAAAGTCCCAAAAAGATTTAGGGTTTGAAATGAAAGATGATTCAGCTTTTTTAACAAATTGTTGATAACATCTACCAGACTCATACTTGAACTGGGCTCGTAGAGAAGAAAATCAGGTATAATCAAATGGTTTCAAGGTGGATCTAAAAAGAGCATGGGCTTTCTTTTTACGGATAACAAGGCGTTTTAGATCACTTGTAAACCACGGTGGATACGTAGACTTTTTGTATTTTACTAATGGAACAAAGTTAGACACACAGTAATTAAGAGCATGAGATAGAGCGAAAGCTGCCTCATTAGTATTTAACGGAGAAATAGTGTCACCAAATTATAACTTAACAAAAAAGTTTTAACTTTATCGAAATCCGTCTTATTGAAGTCTGGAAAATAATGCGAAGCATCGTAAGAAGGAACGTTTTGAGAACTGACAATATTAACAACAAGGGAAGGGTGATAGCTATCCTCGGGAACAATAAGGATATCAGATCTTTTAATAACGATATTACGCTCACTGCTAAAGACTAAATCTAATAAGGTGTCACTAGTATTTCTTATTTCATTCAATTGGAAAAAGTTGAGAAAGGCAAAGCATTCAGGGATACAAGAAGTACGCGCCCCTGATAAGGAGGAATAGATAAGGCCCATTTCATCATATGACCATAGTATATCTGGAAGATTAAAGTCACCACATACAATAAAAACACAATCATTGTTATTCGAAACGATACACTCGAGTTCCGAAGTTAATGACTCATAAACACCAACAGGTGAAGTGGGAGGGAAGTAGACACCGCAGATAATATACGAGATAGAGTTAAAATACATTTTTATGAAAACCCACTCAGCCCCCATAAATTTAGGGACAGGTATTTCCAACGCACTAACATCATTTCTCACTGCTATGAGGACACCGCCACCTCTATTATGGACACTAGTAGCACTGGACCTATCACATCTAAATACATTATAATTGATTAACCCTAGTTCGCTAGAAAAAATACTATCATTGAGCCAAGTTTCAGTAAGAATAACAAATATGAAATCAAATATAGCTACATTAACATTCACGGTAGGAATCTTAGTTCGGAGACCACGGCAATTTTGTTAAAAACCAAAAGAAAGTGAGTCTAAAGGATAATAGGTACTAGAGCTGAAAGAAACACTAGATACATTTAAATTAGAAAAAACATTATTTACAATAGGTGAGGAGTTAATGGTAGAGACGACACAATTCGGGACTAGTTTTTTGGCGAAGAGGGCACCATAATCTTGGTAATAACAGTTTCTCAATATTTAAATAAATTCTAATTCTATTTGTTCTTCAAAAATATGAACACAATTGTGTAATTTTTTAGTATTATACTTATACCTGATAAGGTTTTTTTTTATCCCCCTAAAATTATTTTTTTTACTGTTTAACTTCCACCATTTCAGAATTTATCATCACAATTGTATTGACTGTTGTAGTGTTGTCCTAAATTAATTTCTTTCTAATATTTTGCAACTCTTACTTTTTTATGTACTATGTGTCATTCATTTTTCCTTGAAAATTATCAATTTGTATGTCACCCATAATATTTGTAAGGGCCCGGAATTATTATGTTTCGCCGTCACCGCCGTGCTCGCATTATTATTATTATACACCACTCCCAAACAGACCGGCTCACACACACACACACACACACACACACACACACACACACACACACACACAGAACTCATTAGTGAATTATTTATATTGTTTTTATTCTTGTTATAATTATGTTGTGTGTGAATTATTAGGTAAAATGTAGATTAAACTTTATCGCACGCCGCAGCGCCGTCTATGCGAATATTATTTTAACACGCCCGCCGTGACTCTGTTTTGTTTTGTACGTCGCTCTACGAACTGTGAGTTTTATTATTTTATTATTATTTATTCATTATACTTTTGAATCTGTGGAGCCATAAGGGCCTCAGATATTCTCAACTATTATAGTATCGTGTGTCAGAAGGACCAAGTATGTTTTTTATATTGTATACTGTAATATCTTAAGAGGTGTCAATGGTGTCATAACTACATTTTACTTTAATAAACAACTTCACTTTATTTAATATTTCATATAACACAAGACTTTAGAGCGCACATGGTTAGTTGCTTGCTCGTACATAAAACAATACAACATTTTATTCTATTAGGTTATGTTATCATACAAATTATCATATCATGTTATCACAATCCTTATCCCTAGTTATAACATAATACATCCATACATAGTTAATACATAATACAATTTGTGCATTATACAAAATTAACAAAATCATCTTAACTAACAAAACATTACTAAATAAATTTTAAACCTTAAATAATTATATAACACAAATTATAAGTTCAACCTATCTGGTTTTTTCCTATTCTTTTTAGATCTTATAGGTAAAGAGACTTCTACTTCCTCTTCTAAAAATTCACTTATATTCTCTTTAACTTTTTCATTTATTTCACTTTTTTCTATTTCAAAATTCTTTTTATCCATAGTTTCTTTTTTTTCTTTAATATTTTCTTTACCTTCAATACAGTTTGTTCTTCTCCTTTTTCCTTTTCTACTGTTTCAATACCATTTTCCTTAATCTTACCCACTTCAATTAGTTGGTCAATGTGCCTTCTCCAAATCAAATTTTCTTTTTCCAATCTAACTATTTATACCCTCTCACCTAAAACTTCCTCGATTGTTCCCTTCTTCCACTCTTTTTTATTTGGGTTTGAATAATCTCTAGCATAAACTATGTCTCCTTCTTTAAAATATACTTTTCTAAATCTTTTTACATACTTATTTGTTTCTTTAGGAATGCATAATCTATCTAACCTAGTCTTAATTTTACTTCCAAACATTCTATAACTTGGTGACTCGCCCGTTATCCAGTGTGGTGTATTCCTATATGTTAATAAATATCTTTGGATTAATGTATTTAATGAAACATTCTTATTTGTCTTATCTTTTACTGCCTTCAATATACTATTCTTTAAAGACTTAACAGCATTTTCAGCTGATCCATTCGTAGCTGGATGATAAGGAGGTGACGATGACGTCACAAACCTAATCATATTATTTTTACAAAATTGTATAAACTCCTCTGATCTAAATTGTGGTCCATTATCTGACACAATTTTGTTTGGTAACCCAAACCTGGCAAATATCTCTCTTAACTTTTCAATAACTGAACCACTATTACTTACTTTCATTTCAGCTACTTCTGGCCATTTTGTAAATACATCTGTCATTATCAAATAATCTTTACCTTGTAAATATAGAAAATCTATATGTACTCTGTCCATTGGACAGCTCGCTTCCTCCCACTTTTTTGGTTCTGCTAAAATTGGTTCTGATCTACTTTGTAAACAAGCATCACAACTTTGTACCCAATTTTCTATATCCTTATCTAATCCAGGTCACTACATGTATGATCTACACTATATCTTCATTTTAGATATACCCATGTGAGTTGAATGTACTTCTTTCAATAAATTCTTTCTTAGAATTTTAGGAATTAATATTCTATAACCCCACATTAATATATCTTTATCAACACAAATTTCTTCCTTTCTAATTGTATAAGGTTTCAGTTCCTCGCTTACTTTTATCGGCCAACCTTCATTCAAATAATAATAACTAAATTAAACTCTTTATCTTTTTTAGTTTCCACTCTAAGTATCTCATAATCAATAGGCATAGTATTTTCCATAAAATCAACATAATCAGTTTCATTTGTTTGAGTTTGTACATCATATTTATCAGGTAATCTCGAAAGTCCATCTGCCACTTTATTATCACGACCTTTAACATGTAATACTTGATAATCAAACTCAGATAAATATAATGCCCATCTTTGAATTCTCCTAGAGGCCATAACAGGAATACCTTTATTTTCACCATACAAAGCTAACATACAAACTTCACTTCTTTTTTTAACAAATTGTAAATAGGACCTAGTAAGGTTGATAAATTTGGTATAAATTTAGCATAGTAGTTCACCATACCTGTAAATGCTTTTACTTCTGTGACACTTTTAGGCTCTACAGCATTAAGCATTGCTTTAACTTTATTTTTATCTCTTTCAATACCTTCTGATCCAATTATATGTCCTAGGTAATTTATTTTTGGTTGAAAAAAACTGCATTTTTTTTTTGTTTAATCTAAACCCAGCATTTTGTAAACTTTTAAACACTTCCCCGAGATTATCCAAGTGCTCCTGTTCACTACTACCAGCTACAATTATGTCATCTAAAAAGTTTTTAACACCCTTAGTTCCTAACAATACTTTTTCAATAACACTCTGAAACTTTGAACAAGCTGGTTTGGTACCAAAAGGTAATCTTTTAACTATATAAATACCTTTACTCGTACTCCAAGCTAATAGTTTTTGTGTACTTTCACATAACTCTAATTGGTTATAAGCATTCAAAAAATCTAATTTAGAGAATGTTTTACCTCCTTGCAACGCCACAAATACCTCTTCTACTCTTGGTAATGGATGGTTAATATCTACCAAATATTTATTAACAGTAGTCTTATAATCTGTACATAAACGAATAGATCCATCTGGTTTAATAACCGGTACAAGCGGAGTACCCCATTCACTAGTCTCCACTTTCTGTATTATCTCTTCCCTTTCTAATCTATCCAACTCATCCTCAACTTTTTTTTTTTAAAGCAAAAGGTATTGGTCTCGGTTTACAAAATATAGGTGTACATTCCTCTTTAATTTTTAACGTCACTTTTTCATATTTATACTTACCAATTTTTTCCTCAAATAATTCTTCAAATTCATTTATTAACAACTCTAACTTATCATTCTTATTTGTGCTTTCTACTTCAATCTTTGAAATACCCCTAATCGTTATGCCTAATTTGTTCATTAAATCCCTGCCTACCAAAGCTCTATGTCCTTTTTTAACTACTAATAATTTACCATATAGTTCTCTTTCGCCATACATTAGTTTAACTTCAATTTCTCCTATCGGCTTAATAATTGAACCATCATAAGTTCTTAGCTTTAAAATAGTAGGATTAATGTGTATATGAGGTAACTTCTCTTTCACAACTTCTTCAGGTAATATTGAAATCCCTGCACCAGAATCAACTTCCATTTCAATTAATGTATTTTCAACTTTTACCATTATCATTACAGGACTTAACCCGCAGTTATTTTCACTTTTAACCTCCACTTGAAACATTTCCATTTCTTCATTTTCCTCAACTTCAACAAAATGATTGTGACCGTTCGACAATTTGCCTAGACAAATTGCTCGTCGAACGTCATGTGGTCGCCCGTTTGACAAGGTTGCCAACCACGAACCGAGGCCCAAAAGACCGGAGCATCGTGGATTTTGTATATATATAATAAATGAACACGAAATGTAAAAAAGAATCTATTTTTTTTAATGATTTTTTTGTGTTGAAATTATTTTGACGCCGAGAAAGCCGAACGGCATAAAACTCGGACAAAGAAAAAGTTTAATGTATATTATCATTGTCAGTCGTCTTACATATGACTATGCCACCGATTATAATCATAAATTATGAAAGTGATACAAAACCTCGCGAGGGGGCTCGGTCGCTCGTAGACGCCGAGGTATACATTACATATTTTTATAGGTATACATACCATTATATTTCTATATACATAAAAGG